GTAGGGAAAAAGAAACAGAGAGGGAGAAATGAGAAGGAGTTAGAGAAATAAAATCAAACCCTGGACCTCTACCTCAGCTGACCCATTGGAAGACTTGTGACCGTTAAATCATCACAAGAGCCTAGTTATAAAATCCAACCAGGATTGAATAAGAATCCATTAACATAAATAAAGCAATATGGTCCAGAAAAGCACTGAAACAAAACTATTATCAAACTATTATTACATAAATTGAGCTATGTATAATAAACTCATTATTTATGCTGCTATATTAGTTTCAGCATATAAACATGTTTTCATAGTTACACACTCACAACTACAAATAATCAAATGACCCTAACACCAGGTTTTGTGGGCAGTTCAAATTTCTGTCATGCGCTTTGGTACTTTTTTAGGCTCTCCCAAATTCAGTAGCCTGTAAATATGCAAGTCTGGGACCATGAACAGGAATGTGCCGCACATATTTTTTAATATCTCCTTTGGGCAGTCCAACACAGTTTTCCTCATTTTTAGTGCAGAATAGTCCATTGCTGAAGGTCAAATGAAGTCCATTGTGTCCTACCACTTGTACATAGGCTTATTTGTCAACAAAGGTCATGTGAAATGTGGGATCAGTGAAAAGACAGATAGGAACCTAACAACTGAAATATTCATCTAACTTTCATTATTTCATATTATTTTATTTTCAACCCCATCATTATTTGACAGGACAAGTTGTTTTTTTAATATTCATATAGCTCTTAGAACACTTGAAGAGTTATTCCCTTAAATCTTCCAAAAATAACATCTTCAGGGACAACCCAAGTATGGGAGATTTCAGCCCAGATAAGAAGTGTTCTGAAAACTTACCAAATATATAAACAGAGAATATATAATGAAGATCCAACATGCATATGATTGATACCCTCCATGAATGAGCTATTTAAAGCTTATTTTTGTGCACTTAGCCCCCACAAACCGGACCGCAGAATCCAGACTGTAGTTCCTGCTGCCGTGGTGACTTTGGAGTTCGACTCTACCAAGGGCCCCCAGGACCTCCTGGGCCCCCTGGGATGCCAGGTAAAGATGAACTTGAATTCATTTTTTGATCAGTCTAATTACAGGCTATAAATTACAGGCTATTCTATAAAATACCAGAGAATGGCCCAAACATCAGTATTTGGGAACAGATTCAGGAACAAGTTTTTCTACAATTTCTGGGGACACAGAGATTTTCAATTAGAGTCTAGAGTATTTTCCAGTGAAAACCCATGTGTTATTAAAATTCAGCTTTCACAAATTCATACTGAAAGTAATCTTACTACATGTCCAGGGCAAATTGGTCTCTGTTCATAAAGGAACATGACACTTCCAGTAAAGTTGGAAGAACTTGTTCCCTAGAGTTGATTATTGTGATCACCTTTGAATAATCAGCTATGCTATTGTGTACTGTATTCAGGAGCTTTTTTTCATCCAGCATACTGCTAGACAATATTTTAGAGACACACAGGCTTCTATTCTCTCAAAAATGTCTTGTCATCCATAACAAAAAGTATCTTTTTTTTTCCCATGAAAAATGCACACAGAAGCACCAGATACACAAGAAAAAGGTATACTTCGATCTGATAATTGGTATGGAAAAAGAAGAGCCTACAGAAGGGAAAAACATAATTGCATGTTGGTGTAAGTTTGTTACAGCAGCTACCTTCAGGAATTTGAAAATCACTGTTCCTAAAGCAGATGTATAATGTAAATGAAGATGTCACTGACTGACAGATTTGTCTCATCTTCAAAAGCTTACATCTTCTGTCATCACAATTAAAATACAATTTCACGATTCTTCTGTCTCACAAATGTACTGACAGTAACAGCCATGACAGATAACCATACACAAAAAAATTAATGTAGTGATTTTTGGTAGAAACAGTTTACAGTAACAGTTAAACCTGATAGTTATGAAGTGAAATCTGAGTGAATGAAGTGTTTCAAGAACTTCAGTTGGCAAAATATTGAAGTAAATTGCTACTGTGACGTATTTTGGGTGTTAGGCAAAATAAGGTTATAGGCATATTTGGTATTAGACTGCTGTGAGCTATTCATGCATGAATCCTTTATAAAAATGACATTGACTATTATAGAAGTAAGAGAAATCTAATGGTGAGGTCCCTTGTGCAGAAATATTGCATTATATGTTAATAAAATGTTGGCTTCTTAGAAGCAAGATACAATGTCGTGTTAGACCCACACTTTCAAGGCTGCAGTGGACATACTGGGACATAGCCCAGTCCCAGCTTTGCCCCTTCCTGATGCGAGGATGTATCTCAGTCACACTTTCTTGTCACCACAGGATGCCACAAACACATGGCTGACAGCAACCTTCTGCAGCCTGGGATGTCTCTGTATCCTTCATCTGTTGCATTTCATATTGCTGTGCCCATAAGGGGAACGACAACAGCCGCTTTTCTCTTGACTGAATCAAAAGCCACTTGCAGACTTCTGTTCTGAACTGGTAGAGAAGTAGTTCTGGTTTTAAGTGAAGGATCATGCTTGTTATTTTTAAGAATTACTGATTTCTCTATCCAAACAGAAATTTGCCTAATTTCTTCCACCATTTAGTTTCCTTGCTTGAAGGAATTTTTTTTTCTCAATACAAAAATTTTAAGGAATCACGTCATCATTAGATTTGATCTCAAACAACACCATTCTTCTTGCAAATTCATAACCACAGTGACTAAACAGAGAGCAAGCAGAGTGGCAAAGAATCTAATTTCAGTTCAGGTAGAATTAGGACAATGATGACACTAATTAATCCCCATAGTAATTAACTGGAAGGTCAGGCTTTTGCTTCTGGTAGGCATAGTAATCGCTCAGTGATTCTAGCCAACTTTAAAGTTTTGTCAGTCTCATAGACATTTGCTCAGTAATTTGCTCAGTAAACATCAGGAAGTAAGTAATACTGCAGATGCAGGAATATGTTTTTACGACAACTCTTTTACAAAAAACCATCTCAGAAAAGCTTCATTACAAAAATTTTGTCTTTAAATCTGGGAATATGCAATCAGTCAACCCCTTCAAGCTAACCAGCACCCCGAGAATGCACACTCTCCCATTTTTGGCACAGATGGGTCATTTAGCTGGTTTAAGGTTACAGCCATTCCTCATTTGTGTAGATATGTTTTAAAGATAGCAAAATGTTATTTAAAATTATACTATCCTATCCTAATTAACTTAAATTGTCAGGAAATAAGTTTTTACACAAAAGGAAAGGCAAGAGTGCTTATGCAGGCCATCTGGTATGTGCCAATAGGCAGTGGCTTTCGCTTTCCTTGAAACTCACGTCTGCTGAGGTCTTGTCCTTGCACATCTCCCCAACAATGCAATGACTTGTGACATTGGCAGTTTTTATAGCAACACCAAGATAGCATGAGGGTTAACTCTTAAACATCAGTCTACATCCTTCTGGAAACTCGCTCATCAAAAGCTTCACCTTCAGCTTAACCACACCACTGTTTCTTATCCATTGTAGCTCAATCTGGGGTTTATGGTACTGAAAAATCCATCTGTTGGAAACTGGTGGAAAAGGACCCTGTCACAGTTATCTATTAAAATACATGAAATTATTTAAGTTAAACAGAAAGCTCTGTTTCCTTTAGGAAATCATGGAAACAATGGAAATAATGGAGCAACTGGCCAGGAAGGAGCCAAAGGTGAGAAAGGAGACAAAGGAGATATGGGACCGAGGGGAGAACGTGGCCATCATGGACCTAAAGGAGAGAAGGGTTACCCTGGGATTCCCCCAGAGCTACAGGTACACAATCTCTGGCTTGTGTTGTCTGCAGCAGTCCTCAGGTTATGGTTTTCTTCTCTGAAAAACAGCACCTAACTACTGTAAGATACTTAAGAAGCAAATACCCCTATAAATCAATACAGTGAGAGACATATTTAGCCCTTGTTATGACTGACAAATGTGCTCTGGCAGATATTCCTGGAAAAGAAAGACATCAGAGCTGAGTCTTTAGAGTAGGAACCCAGTCGAGAAATGGGTAGAAAGAAACATGTGTGGTTCGCTTTTAGGGCAGAAATCCTGTATCATTAAAGGAGATTAGCGGGGACTATAATTTTTCTGTCAAACTGTATCACATACATAACTGCACTTCCTATGGCATATGAAAAGAGTAAAGGAGTCACTCAGGCCCATGCTTCTCAGGTCAGTCAGGCTTCGTGAGATTCTCAGAAGGATATGTGTTCAGCTCATCAAAGTATGGGGTCAAAACCTCTGAGTGCAGATAGAAGTCTTCTGGTTTTGAAAAATAACCCTTAGTAGCTATCTGTGCTTATATATGTCTAGATACCTTAAATATGTTAAGAAACATGTAGGTTCTGCTTATGAATGAACCACCCAAAAGCTAGGTGGGCATTAAAACCTGGGTTCAAGCCTGAGCTGGTAAGCTCTGCTGAGGGATAGGATATGGTTGGTTGGGCTCAACACTGTGTTGGCATAGTCCCATAGCTTTTGCATTAGAGCTTCTTTATGTCCCAGAAACCTAGCAGATGTCAGAGAACTTATGTGAATGTGGTGTAGTTCTGTTCTTAAGGCAACTGAAAGTAATGGGACTCAGATAACTAAGATGCTTGGTTGCTGCCGCAAAGAGGATTTAAAAGGGTTGCCCACACTGCAGAGTAGCAATATACAACCAGTTCATCTGCAACAGCAGGAAGACTTGACTATCTCTATGATGTAACTCAGCTAAGGTGCTAAAGGCAAGATTTAGATGCATGGCAAGCCTTTGAGATGTATCCCTCCTGGTTTCCAGCTGCCACTGTGGAAGGACCCTCTGTGGGGGAATCCTAAAGCACTTCAGATGGCACTAGGTGCATCTGTGTGGGCAAATGATTGCAGTCAGATTCAGCTCCAGAGAGCCTACACGTGAGGGAAGCGTCTAAGGTCCCATCACATTTACTGAGGATCTAGAAGAGCAACTCAGCTTAATCTGACAGTCACCTCTGCTTTTGGGCAAATGGGACTTCAGACACCACAGAATGTATAGATCTCCAGAAACTATAAGGGAGTTTACATGCTCACTCACATGTACACACTTTAATGGAAGTGTCTTAATCTCATTCATACCCCCAAACCAAGTTCACCACAGAAGGGACAAAATGGGATATAGCAAACTCGCAGAAAAAGAAATCCCACTTTCAACCACTCTGACTATGGGGAAGACTGAAGTTCTAATCTATTTACAGACCTACACCTTTTAACTGAAGGATACTGTTGCCCAATAACATGCAAAGTAACAGCAAAATCAATAGTACAACCAATGTGTACAGTGTGGGAAAATGGTTTTAGATTTCTTGGCATTGTGTATATTTGAATTCTCCAGCCTAGGTTGCATGAAGATGCGTAATTGCACAGAATAAATTTCACAATGAAATAGTTTCCAAAATTACAGGACTTTTGTAATAAAGGAGAATTATTTATGTATTCTTAAAGAATTAACTGGAATTAACATTATACCTGAATATCTTAAAAACATATTTGTTGTAATTACATTCAACATAAATCCTTCTGCAATTTTAAAATGAGCTATCAGCATTTTTTTATTACATCAAGATAGTGGTAGTAATTTAATCAAAAACTGAATAATGAAATAGGATGAATAACAAAAGCTAATATTCCAATACCTATTTTCAAGTAAAATTCCATTACTCTTTTTAACAGATGTGTTTAAAAATTCTTTACACAGTACAGCATACGATTTCTTGTTAATATCACGCTTAAGAATTTTAGACTGGGGGCAGGTAGAAGAGAAATAACTTTTGAATACAATACTGTTTTAAGTACAGGATTATTTTGAAAGACTTGGTGTGTCCGTGTTGATCTGCTACTTCAAAATGAGACCTAGGGAGAAAGGACATCTTTTTCAACTCTTCTGATCAGCCCAAGAAAAGCAGCTTGGGGTCAAAGAGAATATGAAATGGAATCTAGACAAAAAGCCACAAATTCCATCAAGCTGCCATTGCAGCTGCTTTCCTTTAACACACGATGAACTTTGATATGATTCTGGCTGAGAAGCAAGATGTTAACAATTTGCCATCATAGAAAATGCATCCATGCAGGGATAAGGAAAATCAGTCCAAGCTTTCAGCTCACATCTGGAGCTCCTCAAATTTCTGAGCAGATGGCTAATGATTTCCATTGTTGGATCCAGACTTGCATTTGATTTTGCCTGGTTTTTTTTGTTGTTTTTTTTTTTTTTTCCCATTTGGATCTGAAATCAAAAGAAGTTTGGGGTGGTATTTTTTTAATACCAATATAGCTGGAATCACATGAAAAATGTCATTTTTGTGAGGGGCTATAACAATGGTAATTGAACACTCCTCATCTAAGAAGTTAAGAGAGAGATAAAATGCCAAGTCACTATGTGACCTTCTGGCATCCAGGTGCAGCAATTCTGCCTGTACCTCACTGTACTGACAGTCAGATGGGGAGATCACAGACTCACAGAAGAGATAGCCCCCTTCCCTGACCATAGAAGTTGGCAGGGTCATTCCCTGGTATCTTGCTGAGGGTAATTTGAATTGTCCAATGTGGGAGGTTTTGCACCACTTCCTATGAAACTTTTCCCATGGCCAATACATCTCACTGCAAGAAGTGCAACATTAAGTTGATGCAGAGTTTTCACTTTCTTAGTTTCCTCTTTTGGTCTCCTCAACCCTGTTGTGACTGAGGGTACAGGGCAACTTGTAAGAGAGAAAAATCATTGAATGTTGAGTCCCAGCAACTGCACTTCCAGACAACCTCTAATAAAAACGCTTAATGTATCTCTATGTTAGCAAGAAACCCTGATGTGTATGGATTTTACTCAGTATTATTTATTTCACACATTCAGTTAAACACAATATCCAACCTGAATGCATTGAGGGATATATAAAAAATTATTAAATCACTTTTGTCGGAAACATCATCTGTTTCAATACCAGTTTTCTGTTGCATCATTCTAGAAAGACTTAAAAGTAAATAAAATCCCAAACAAAGGTCCTGACCTGCAAACACTTGCCCATACACTTACTTTTACATCCATGAATAGTCCAATTGAATGTAAGAAGCCTAGTCCTCTTCCAGTTTCATTCAACGGGAGTTTTGTTACTGCAGTTTAATGGCCTTGGAGCAGGCCCTAGAAGAACATCTCTGTCAGGAAAATAAAGAGACCACAAACACAGGAAAAAATGTAGCTGATTCCTCTAGATATGTGCATTTCATGAACAACTGCCTGAATAAGAACCACATTTTTGCAGGTCGCATTCATGGCTTCCATGGCTACTCACTTCAGCAACCAGAACAGCGGGATCATCTTCAGTAGTGTTGAAACCAACGTTGGGAATTTTTTTGATGTCATGACTGGGAGATTTGGTGCTCCAGTGAATGGTGAGTGTTTGCAAAACAAAATAATGCAAAATAAAAAACTTCCAGGAGCTATAGGGAGCCACACAGCCAATAATGATGAGAAATTAGTTAACTGCCTTTGCACAAGGTACTGATGAGACATTCTCTGCATAGCTCTTGTTACCTACTTTCAAGAAAAATCAAATTAGAAACTGAGCAAGCCAAGAGAGGGCTTGCCAGCCTGTGAGACTGGTGGTGGCAGGAAGCCAGGAGGAAGAGGCATGACCAGAGCTGGGGAGGGAGCAGGACCATCACCATCTGCTTTGAGATCTTTAGCCCTTCAGCCACTGTGATGAGACAACCATAGCCTTGATGTTGCAGCAGCAGCAGATTCACAGTTGCCTGTTCCACCTCCTGCCTCCAGTCAGTCTCTCCATCCCCACCTTCCCTCATGCCAGTTCAGCTGTGAGCTGGCCTGCAACAGATCTGTGGATGGAAATGAGGCATTACAGTTTTCCTTGAGTTATTTTTCTGCTGCACCAATCCCCCACCTTATGCAGTTGTGGCGCAGAAGAACAATAGGAGATGGGGGAGGCTGGGTCATAACCAAAAACATGTCTAAGCAAAGCCTGAAACCAACTTCCTTGACTTTGCCTTTCTCACCCTGCCATTCATTTACTCACTGCTATGGGAAATGATATTAAATTAAATAAAAGTCAGGCCCTCCAAGCTTGCTGTAGCACATCTTACTGACAATTAGCGGTATGTGTCCTCACAGCTGCTGCCTTTTGAGGTTAATGTTTATGTGGATGTCAAGAAACTTTGACCTGGAATGATTTAATGACTTTGATGTAAACTCCAAGCTCTCATTGCAAGGTCAATGCTACAGACTTACTGTTCAGGAAACAGGAGCTTGTCTTCTCACCTGGGAGAGTCTTGTAGAGCTCATGACACATAAAACGGTTGCACTGACAACATGGTTGGCAACTTTCAGACAGAAAGAACTAAAAAGAAAAAGGGTAATGATAAGGGTGTGTTGTGCAAGAAGAGAAAGTGTTGGCCACATCTGCATTGTTCAGGATGCGGTATGGCCAGGTGAGCAGAGTGGGTGCTGCTAAAACCACTTGTGCCCTGCCTCACCTGTGTAACATGCTGGCTGTCCGACAGCCTCTGAGGCTGAGCCCTGGCTGGCCTGGAGGTTGCTCTTTTGGGAGAGGGCAGGAGGAAGAAGGTAAGGAAAAAAAGGTGAGAGAGAGGTCACTAGACTCAGCCTCTGGGAAATTTCCCTTTCAGTGAGAAGGAAGGGGTGAGCAGTCCTGCCATGTTCAAATACAGTCATTTCTCTGGGACAGGATGTGGCTGAACCCCTGCCATATGCAGAATAAAAATGAACCAGATTTTGTCACAATGTAAGCAGAAGCAAAATACCCACTGACAACTGGAAGGTAATTTTGGCCTCAGCTGTTACGTTTTCTAAGCAAGAAGCACAAGTCTGTAGCATGACTACCTCTCTCTATGAAGCGAACACATTGTATTTGGTAATATTTTCAGGGGTGTATTTCTTCACCTTCAATATGATGAAACATGAAGATGTGGAGGAAGTGTACGTGTATCTGATGCATAATGGTAATACAGTTTTCAGCTTATATAGGTAAGTGAAGGCCTATGCCATTCTAATGCAAAACACATGTTTGCACAGATGTGATAACTTGCTCACATTTCAAGAAATATGAAATTGTTCATTTTTTGAAGAAATCCTGTTGGGTAAAGTAACCGACAAAGAAAAACTATTGTATTTCGCCCTCCTCAACTTGCAAATTTGCATCATGCCTGCCACAGATCCTGGACCTAAAATTAGGCCTTGATCACAAGTTCCTCAAAGTTCAGGGGAAACAAATTAGCACTGCAAGTTAGGGTTGGAGTCCAGTGGTAACATGCTGTCATTCTGCTAAAACATAACTTATCCTCATTTTGCCTGTCAGAAAAAGGGCATAATGAAGTGTTCAGCAACTAGTTACAGTCTTGTTAAAGATTAGGGGAGAGCAATTTACTTTAACGATGGAAAGCATTTAAACTGCAGTGGTAAGGATGCGTAAGAAGCAAAGCTCCTCCATTTACTGGCTTTGTTATCACTAGCACACATTGAATAAAATTTTTCTGAACTATTTATGTTAGCTGGAGGATCATCAAGAATAAGATCTGCTTCTAGCTTACCAACTTCTACAAGGAACAGGTCAAGAAGCTTGTAGCCAGATGGATATCTGAAGAAATATGTGTTTAAAAAAATATTATTTCTTTAATATCAACCAGGGATCTGATGCCAAAACCAAGCTTCTCTCCTGAGCCTGAATAAACAGACACAAAAGCTTAGATTGATCACCCTGAATTTCAGTCACTCAGATCATAGCACATTCATTTAGGCTGTCAAGGTTTCTTCAACAGCCCCTACCTGAAGAACCACCAAAGTGTGCTTCATTCCCAACACATCTTTCCTGCAAAAGTGCCAAATTATTTTCCCCTGAAGCATTGATGTCAGACAAGGCAACAGGTGGAAGAAAGGGAACCAACACTCATGCAAAGCCAGCAGGTTAGCCCACATCAAAGGTAACTACATTAGAATGAAAGGCCTCAGGATGGCGTAAGCTGCCTGTCTCTGCCCACTGCCTGTGCCAGGAGCACAGGGGCTCAGCTCACATGAGACTCGTGACCTGGAGGCCTTTAAAATTAGCTGGGATGAATCCGAGGGAAAAAAAGCATCACAGGGAATCTGCAGTGTTGTGATGAACGAACAGAGTTTTATTTTAAACAACAGATTTGTTCCTGTGCCCTGGGAAAACATACATAAGCTAAACTTCCAGAATTTCAGTAAAGAATGAAATGATGCAATTAGATAAGGTGCAAAATTTTACTAGGAGAACAAATGCAGAAAGATGCCAAAATTTCCTCATAAAGCTGAAAAAATGTTGGCAAGACTTTCAAGGAAGTTTTTCCTCGCAAAACAATGTGCTTTCTTGGATTCTTTTTTTTAAAAGTTCTTTGCTTGATCATTCTTGAGAAACTAAAAGCTGACTTGTGAAAATATTCGTCCTTAGCTATGAATCAAAAGGGAAAGCAGACACTTCAGGAAACAGTGCAGTCCTAAAACTTGCCAAAGGAGACGAAGTTTGGCTGCGAATGGGAAATGGAGCTCTCCATGGGGATCATCAACGCTTCTCCACCTTTGCTGGGTTTCTTCTTTTTGAAACCAAGTAAAAAAAGAAACCATCCAATAGATGTTTATCTGAGGAAACTTCTTTTTTGGAACTGGTATTATTCTCTGGACAGTGGAATAACATTACAACATTGAAAGATCAAGAAGGCTTGTTTTGATGCAATGTGTTGCTATTTGCGTATCAGAGATGAGCTGAATACATTGGGTAGTTGACACACAGATTCACAGAAGATGCATTGTCATGTGGGTTGTATCTAGTGAATTGTTAAACGTTGCTATTGCTCTCTTGTCCAAAGTGACTGAAAAACAAAGGAAAAGGAGTTTGAGTAATTTAGAGAGCAGTTTGCACAGTAAAGTCAATTTTGTCTGTAAATATACTTTAGTTAAGGATATGTAGGAATTGAACAATTGATTCAAGTTTTTCTGTTCATTTATTCAGTTCTTATTACATGTTCATTTAAGTTTGCATCATGGAAACAGGCCTGAATGAATTATAAGTAGGCTCAGCTGAGACCAGATTTAAAGGAAGAAGTTTTTACTGGACTAGAATGTACTTTACATATAGGAGAGAAAAAAAATGTGAAAATAAAGATGTTAAGGATTCAGGTTTATTGCATTCCTATCTCAAACCTCTGAAGATGTATCTGGTGTAATCTTTCATAGATTTTTAATACATATTTATGCTATCTCTCTCTTTTAAAAAACAGAGTGGTAGTAATTCTTGCCTTAGCAGCAGCTTGAAGCTAAAGTAATTTAGCCTTCAGTGTGCAGGGGATCAGACAGGGGAACTGTAATGTTTCTTCCTAGCCTTCAAGTTGTTTAAACCTGATGTAAGTGAATGCAAAGTGTCAAAGCAGAGGCATATACGCTGGAGAAGTTGGGTTATGCCAACACCACAAGCAGAAACAGACACTTTATGGAGTTTGGAGCTCTTTTAGAAGGGGATACCTTTTAATATTGCACATTTATCTAACAGTGAAGTTATTGACACAGTTTTCCTAGCAGCCTTCCAAGAACCAGTATTTCAGGAAAAGACATTGCAGCCTGGCAAAGCAGCAGGTAACTCAGTTCAATATTTAACTGGTGAAAGCAAACGCTGACTGGCTGAAAAGTTCTGGTCACAGTAAACTGGACCATTCTTCAGCACTAATATTTGCCACTGGCTTTTAAAAATTTGTGTACCTGAAATCCTGTCTTGCTATTTTCTTTTGCTCAGAATCAGCACCAAATATACTGAGACATTACTGAAGTTTGAATGTATGTTCTGGACATTCTGGCTCTCCACACACAAGCTAATGAAATATAAATTACATTTTAACAGACATTACATTTTAACCAGACATTACCTGCCATTAATGTATAACAAGCAGGTGGGGTTAGGAAAACATTTATTTGAAATTCTTTTGTACTGGATACAGATATCAGTAGCACAACAATGAGCAAATTAATCAAAATCTGCCCTATGAATTTGTATGTCCTTGTACACGTTCCTAATGTATGTAAACCACATCTTACAATGAAAAATGCATGTTGATACTTGATGATTACGACTTGTGATTTTTTTAGTTTTATGCATCAACCACTGAAAGTATTAGTTTTAATGAACAGTTCTCCGATGAGTTTTATTGTTTCTTTATGAACTTGGGTCAGGTTTGCACCACATAGGTCTTCAAAACCTGAGACCATATTATTTTAATAAGTATATTAGTAAAATTCTGGCATGCCTTCAGACTAAAGCTCACCCACCAGGTAATCAAATAGTGTTATTCTTTTGGAGTAAGTGCACAAGTTGTATGAGATATACGGCATCATGAACTAATGTTCACAGCAGGAAAAATCTTGAAAAAAGTATTTCTTGTTGTGTTAGGAATGTTTGCTTACTTTGTAAAACATACATTTACCCAATAAAGATTAATAGTCATAAAATTATACTGGTTTGTTTGTATCTATATTTACCAAGGACCTTACCATTTGGAGACTATGGAGATATATTCTGAATATGTGTTTCCTAAGCATTCATTTTGCTACTGACCAGGACAAAGCCAGCACTATATATTTATTTACATGTGTGTATATATATATACACACACAAGTAAAATTTAAATCCCTAAGGTTTCCTTTGGGGACTTAATTTTCCTTTATGGCATGGCCATTTTAATCCATTTTGGTTAGAATAAAGCACTTAGAAACTATGATACATACACTCATTTTAAGCTCCTTTACCTTATCTCTTGTAATGGCCATGATATAGAAGAAAGCCAAGTTTTGCCATTCTCATTTTACGTTGTTTTCACAACTTTTGTGCAATTTGGACTGCTAAGAGCAGAAAGCAACTAAGAATCTCCACAAAAGCTTCTGACAAACAAACATCAGCACGGTCTCAGTTCCAAGGTTAAAGCTAAGTGGTTTTTTACGTCAAGGTTGAAATTTCCTAGTTTTTGTAGGAAATCTTTACAGTCTTTTCAAAGTTATTGCATGCAATCTCTGCTGACTGAGTGTTGTAATGCTTTACAAATAAATTAACTTAAGCATTAATTTCAAACATCCTTCAAAATATAGCAGCTGATGTGAAAATCTGTGTGTGTGTGTTTCTGTTCCTCAAAATTATCAAGTTTTATATTCAGTAAGTCATGTGGAATGTATGTTTTTTTCTCAGAAATGTTTATGAAAATTAGTCATCTTTCCATTGTTGCTGATAATTGAAAGCCTCTTGTTTAGCAGATGCTCAAGAAAAAATGTCTTCTGCCAGCGACTTTTGTCCTCTGTTATAAAATAGGTGGTATCTTGTACTTTATGTTACAAGCGAGAAACCTTCTGGAAACTCAAAAGCTACAATTTGGAGTACACTTAATAGTTTCTTGTCTTTGCTAAGCTGAGTCTTTCTCTCTCCCACTACTTGAGCTTTCAGATTTAACCAAAACTTGGCAAGAGCTGCAAGCCTCTGCCTGCCACCAGAGTTGTGGTTTGCTAGGTGATACCCTGCCTCTGTGGTAGGAGCTGGCATCCTAGCAGGGGAAAACACTGACCCACACAGAGACAAGTTAAGCTCTGCTCTGTGTGAAGCATCAGCCTCCACTCTTGGTTCTCCCTTCCCCCTAAGACCCAGGGACCACTGTCCCTCCCTGTGACATCCTTGCAAGGTAGCAGCTCTCACCTCCAGCTTCGTTAGGAATATTAAGGGCTGCGTTTTGCAAAACAGGGTTGTGTGCCAGCTGAGAGGTGCTGGTTGGACCCCCTTGGCAGAGGTAAAACACAACCTCTGTGAGAGAAAAACATGAACTAGAATTAAACCTAACTGAAGGAAATTTCACAAGTGATATTTAAAGAAAGCAGAAGGCAGCTCAGTTTAATTAGAAATCCTTGAGAAAAAAATCCCTCTGTGGTTTTAGTTTCAGAGGCTGAGTCCATGGCCTGAGGATGACTGAGTTGATTCTGAGGAAGCAATTTAGATTGACAACAGTTTGCAGCCTCAGTCCCACTGAAAACCTTGTAAGCCAAACTGAGGTCTTTATATAAAGTAAGAGTTTTCTAAAGCGAAAATAAGGAACACAGTCTTCACTCAGATCTTTCATCTTCCCCATGAAATTTTGCATTGTTTCCTACATTACGCCCTACTGTTTTCTGAACCATTTTCTAATAAAAAAGTATTTTATTAAAATTGTTTTATTCTCTCACTCACCTCACATTATTAAGATGACGTTTTGTGCTCAGAAACAACAACAAAAAATCACACAAGGACAAAATATGCAGTGAGTCGCTGAGTGGTGTGTGAAAAGACCCACAGTTCTTCATTTTGGTGAATCAGTAGCAAAATGTCTCTATTTTGCAGTTAGTTCTCCTTCAGCAACCAAAGGAAATAAAAACTGACAGTGATTAGTTCAGATTTAAAAATCTGAGGCAACAAAAGGAATTGTGTACAGCAGTGCTGCAAGCTGGGTGTCATACTCCAATACCAATGAACTCTCGAAATTATCTTCATAAATTAAAAGAACTCAATACAATGTGAAATTCTTAGTATGACCAGGTTCCCTCTTACACCAAAGAGCAACAGCTCCTTTAGTCTTTGGGCCAAACCACACAGTCCTAGTGTGAGTTAGAGCATCTGCAGTGTTAATTTTCATTATTCATTTCTGCACATTAATTTTCATTATCAAATAGTTTCCTTGAGGGAATTAAGCAATACAGGAGTAGCAGTAGAGAACAGCCATATTTCCCAAGCCTCATCCCCCTGCTCTCTGATTAAATTGATACTAAAAACCAAAACAGTGCCAGACTCTATTTTCTGGCCCAGAGTTACCATCTGACTATGTTAATGCTAATTAAACTCTCAGCCTCCATAGCAGGGTGTCTGCTTGCAAAACTAACTGTTGGGACTGATCCCTGGCTTGCACTAACTTTCAAGCAGAACTCAAGAAAAGTTGGGGAGATAGCTCCTTGCCACGGGCTAAAGGCATTTGCAGGACATTTCTGCTAATGTAGTTGTGTAACTCATCCATTTTGGTAACGCAACGCTACAATTCAGGAATTCTTGGACATAGTAAGTCTTGTTGCTGTTTAATTCACTGGTGTGTACGTTGTTGCACTGAGTACCTTGCAGGATGAACAAGGACTGGTAAAAGGCACAGGAAGAGACTATACTGGCTTCTTGACTTTGCAATTTCCTCCCAACAGGAGTGACAGGTTAGGTCATTCTCTTCTACCACTGGATTGATTAAATCAGAGCACAGAAGTTGGCATGAAGACGGTAAAGACGACAGTGGGAGAAGCTCAATATTGTGCATCTATATTTGAAATGGGGCAGGGCATCCTCCATGAACACATTCACAGAATAATAAAGCCAATGATATGGTGCAAGGTTTTACTAAACAAAGAGACTTGTGTTAACTGGTGAAAAATTGCACAAATGGAGTTTTATCCTTCTGCTTTTCCAACAACAATCCAGCAGATGGGAGAAATTCCACAAAAAGCAGCATTTTAAAAGAATCACATTGTTACAACTTCAAGAATGGAAATACCCATGTTAAAATCATCTTTGACATCT